TATACTTCTATGCAGACTTTTTTTTTAATTGCCAAACTAAGCTCGAATTATTTTTCTAAAAGTACACTTTTTAACCTTATAAAAGCCCGCCACAATGAATCAAAGGTCCGAGGCACAAGTAAGTGCTAGACTATCGTTGCCTCGATTAGGTCAAGGGATCATTTCGATTGAGCTAGATACAGACTCAATCGTTTAGACTATCGTTGTTTCAATTAGGTCAAATGATCATCTCGATTGAGCTAGATAAAAAAAAAAAACCCAATCATATTGAATCTAGACAAGTCGACCCGACTTTAGACTTGTGAACTCATTTATTACAATCTGCATCGAATACAGTTTATCATTACTCATAGTCGTTTGGTCAACTTGTGATTGGCGACCAAAATCGATTAAAAAATTGTGTTTAGGGGCACAAAGAGTCAAAACCCATACGATAGGAGCGGACTTTTATGTAAAACAGTTGAATATTAGGCACCGAAATTATTAGAGCCCTCCATTTCCGACTCCTGCGGTACAATTTACAGTCTAAACCCATACGATAGGATTCTTTCATTTTTCTCTTTTACCGTTGTCTTTTTTTGAAATTTTTGAGTGATTATCAAATCTTGGACTTCCACTCAAAGCCGTGTCATTTAGTCTTGATTGAAAACTGTTGTGATAACTATGAATTTTTTTTCTCATTGCTAGTGTTTGTTAATTAGCCAGTGTTTCAAGGATGGTGATTGGCATATGTCTCCTCCGTCTTGCAATATTTGGAATTCTTGGGGTAATATACTAATTACTAACCTTTTATATTTTCTATGTTCTAGCATATATCATTTGACCTTGAAATCTGTAGAATGGCTATTTTGCATCTTAAAACTCTACAGATGCATAATAGTATGAGTAATCGAGTCCAATTACTATCGTATAATCGGATAACTTGTGTATCATTTTGTTTGAATTCACTACGATTTCATGAGTATGGATTATATATAACAATGTATAAAATCAGTAGCAGAAGTAAGTTTGAGTATGATACTCTTATCTCTTTCTGGAATTTTGAATTAAGACAATCCCTGATCATAAACAGGAGAGTGAAATCTTATGGCTCTATCTTAATCGAATTTTTAGATTTTTTTGGATGGATTGTTGAAAACGCAAAATTTTTTTGGAATTCATACAGCCAAAGGTTTTAAATGGCTTCTCATAAAGTTGGATACAAGTTCTAATTCAAGTGTCATCTCTAGGTGCACAAGTATTCGTAATTTGCACAAACAGCATTGCCCATTGACAGGCCTGGTGGTGATGTTATTGACCCTCGGCATATTATTGAGCGTGTTTGGGATTTTAGCAAAGCACGAGTTCAACAATGACAGCTCTGAAGCTCAGCTATTCTTGGCTAGTATAATCGGACCTCTTGGTGTCTGGATCAGGTGGTTCTTAGCTCGTTTTAATGGACGAGGTGGATCGTTAAAATGGATTCCTTTTGGGACTCTCGCTGCCAACATTCTTGTTGCTTGTAACATGGCTGCATTGGCAACACTTGAGAAAACGGTAAGATTCTACTCCTAGTGCATTTTGAGTATGCAATATAAGACTCTACTAGACAGTATAATATATTTGTTAATAATATTTAGTGGTGTCTAATTCTCCTCACCAAACTATATTCCTCTGTTATATGTTTTCCTCTTACCTTTTATTTTTCTTCAATATCTTCACATATACATACAAAAACTCGTAAATCAAACTCTAAAAACTCGTTTTTTTACCATCCACACTCTTTGTANTATACTTCTATGCAGACTTTTTTTTAATTGCCAAACTAAGCTCGAATTATTTTTCTAAAAGTACACTTTTTAACCTTATAAAAGCCCGCCACAATGAATCAAAGGTCCGAGGCACAAGTAAGTGCTAGACTATCATTGCCTCGATTAGGTCAAGGGACCATTTCGATTGAGCTAGATACAGACTCAATCGTTTAGACTATCGTTGTTTCAATTAGGTCAAATGACCATCTCGATTGAGCTAGATAAAAAAAAAAAAACCCAATCGTATTGAATCTAGACAAGTCGACCCGACTTTAGACTCGTGAACTCATTTACTACAATCTGCATCGAATACAGTTTATCATTACTCATAGTCGTTTGGTCAACTTGTGATTGGGGACCAAAATCAATTAAAAAAATTGTGTTTAGGGGCACAAAGAGTCAAAACCCATACGATAGGAACGGACTTTTATGTAAAACAGTTGAATATTAGGCACGGAAATTATTAGAGCCCTCCATTTCCGACTCCTGCGGTACAATTTACAGTCAAAACCCATACGATAGGATTCTTTCATTTTTCTCTTTTACCGTTGTCTGTTTTTGAAATTTTTGAGTGATTATCAAATTTTGGACTTCCACTCAAAGCCGTGTCATTTTATCTTGATTGAGGGCTTATTTGGTAACACTAAAAATTCAATTAAAATTGAAAATATAGCCGTTATTGGGTCTCACCCGTCTAATAAAAGTCAACAATAACGGCTTGTTTTTCAATTTTAATTCGATTTTAATCTCTACCAAACACACTCTGAAAACTGTTGTGATAACTAGGAATTTTTTTTCCCATTGCTAGTGTTTGTTAATTACCCAGTGTTTCAAGGATGGTGATTGGCATATGTCTCCTCAGTCTTGCAATATTTGGAATTCTTGGGGTATTATACTAATTACTAACCTTTTATATTTTCTATGTTCTAGCATATATCATTTGACCTTGAAATCTGTATAATGGCTATTTTGCATCTTAAAACTCTACAGATGCGTAATAGTACGAGTAATCGAGTCTAAATACTATTGCATAATCGGATAACTTGTGTATCATTTTGTTTGAATTCACTACGATTTCATGAGTATGGATTATATATAACAAGGTATAAAATCAGTAGCAGAAGTAAGTTTGAGTATGATACTCTTATCTCTTTCTGGAATTTTGAATTAAGACAATCCCTGATCATAAACAGGAGAGTGAAATCTTATGGCTCTATCTTAATCGAATTTTTAGATTTTTTTGGATGGATTGTTGAAAACGCAAAATTTTTTTGGAATTCATACAGCCAAAGGTTTTAAATGGCTTCTCATAAAGTTGGATACAAGTTCTAATTCAAGTGTCATCTCTAGGTGCACAAGTATTCGTAATTTGCACAAACAGCATTGCCCATTGACAGGCCTGGTGGTGATGTTATTGACCCTCGGCATATTATTGAGCGTGTTTGGGATTTTAGCAAAGTGCGAGTTCAACAATGACAGCTCTGAAGCTCAGCTATTCTTGGCTAGTATAATCGGACCTGTTGGTGTCTGGATCAGGTGGTTCTTAGCTCGTTTTAATGGACGAGGTGGATCGTTAAAATGGATTCCTTTTGGGACTCTCGCTGCCAACATTCTTGCTGCTTGTAACATGGCTGCATTGGCAACACTTGAGAAAGCGGTAAGATTCTACTCCTAGTGCATTTTGAGTATGCAATATAAGACTCTACTAGACAGTATAATATAAAAGTTCACTTTCTTTTCTTTGTTAATAATATTTAGTGGTATCTGATTCTCCTCACCAAACTATATTCCTCTGTTATATGTTTTCCTCTTACCTTTTATTTTTCTTCTATATCTTCGCATAAACATACAAAAACTCGTAAATCAAACTCTAAAAACTCATTTTTTTACCATCCACACTGTTTGTAAAATCTTCTCAATTGATTTGAAGTGCATTTTCGAGTTGATTAGTTTTGATTCGACAAGTTTAAAGAAATTGTATTTTATAATAAGGATTTCCATACGTTTTGCATAAAAACAAAGCTTTTTAAACTAAAAATTAGAAAATAAAATTACTCTTTACTACGTTTTTTTTTTTTTAAATTCTCTCTTTCCCTTGCAATATCCTTTTCTAACAATGGATGAGTTTTGGCACAGGTTGATACCAAGAATTTTGATACTGTGGCATCAGCATTACAATTTGGCCAACTTGGTTGTCTAAGTACTGTTTCTACTTTCATTGCTGAATTTCATAAAATGATGCAGAGCAAGCACCCCATGGATGGCATATGCTTATGCTAGTATCACAATTGGTATTTCATTTATTTTGGGAACTCTGATATATTATGTACCTTCTTGGGCCAAGGGATATCACTAAAGAGAAGATGCCAACTGATAGATCTATTATATTATATGGGTAACGATCTGTCAAGCTGTTAGTTCTTTTTACGAGGAACTAACGGAAGAATAAATTTATTGTGGAAGCGGAAGAATTGCTGGAACTACGTGAAATCTTGACATGATTAACTGATGCATTAACTATGGAGTACAAATTTCACAGGAAGAATCTGGACTGTCTCAATCCCTGTGTGGTTGATCATCATCTCGATACCATAACTGGTTGAATGCTGTGGTTGATTATACAATTTAAGCAGTGACTATAGAATACGCCAGCATCATTGTCTGTCTTGATAAGTTGTTGCACTACCAACTAGCTATACTATTTAAAAAATGGCACCTTGGTTTTTAGTTTGCTTCCTGTTGCTGCTAGAGTTCAGTGCTTTCGTTAGTACCAAGAAGTTATGAACTCCTCTCTCAGAACTTAATCAAAGTTGCAAGCAATCTAATGCAGCAACGCTCGACTGCATATTGGAATGTATAAAATGACTTTACGTATTTAACATCGTATAAAATCTCTCGTTTATTCATGGTATTTGAATAGAACAGAACAGATAGAATAACTGTGGCTTCCTTGGAAGTATAATTTTCTTTCTAAAGATGCAAATTCATGCACAGATTTTAAAAAAAACCGCTATCATAACAAATATTTTTGGTTTTAAACATGCAGCATACACGGAATAGGAAAGGATCGTTGTAAATTAGTAGATAGTCCCAGATGAACATTTAAAAATTGAGTATTCATCCATTCCGTTGTTCCAGTAGAGAGACTAGGCAATTTAGATTTCACATCTTAGCAACAAAGATATAATAGTTCAATAAAAGAGAGAATTTCAGGAAAACAGTAATATACCGTCTTCTGCATATGCAAAGAAGTATGGTTTTCCCAATAGAAACTGGACTTAGTTACATACTAGGACATAATTTCATCCCTAAGAAGTTTTACGTAACAATTCGTACTGATTCAAGAAAATTTCCCAACAGTGATAGCAGTAGTGCTGATATATTTGGCACCTCATCCACAACAAGAGCCACAGGCTGGAAGAGAACCTGAGGATTCAGAATTTGAAGAATTCAGCAAAAAAAAAAATGAATAGAGGAAAAAGTCAAAAGAGAAATATTCTTTCATTCGGGGAGGTGGATACAGGACTTACTGTGGTCAATCCCTCGAACATTGTCTAATCCACGGGGTGGCCCACGTGGACCACCACCATATGGACCGCTTCCAGGACCTCCTGGACCACCCCCATCCCATTTCTTGCTGGCGCCCAATCCTTTCCGGTAAGCATCAGATTTTTCCATCTGCAGAAGATGTAAAGAAAATGAGAACATGATTCACATATTGGCAGAAATTACACATAGGAAGATCTCGAGATTACCGAAAACATTGTAGTGAAGAACACGCCAATGAAGTTGACAATTGCCCAAAAGAAATCTTTGATTGTCCGTAATCGCCATATTGATTTCTTGGATTTGACGACACCTGGAGAAATTATTCATAAAAAATAGAGT